GGGGGTGGAATGTATCGCCCGATCGGCGACGCGGCGCGTCGACGGTCGCGCGAGCGAGCGAGCGATCGACTCGACTCGAGCCGCGCTCCGCTTTCTCGCCTCCTCCTAACCTACGTGTGCCTGGCACCGTCGCGTTCGCGCTGCCTAACCTGCACCCGCGCGCACGCATAACATATTGCGCCCCGATTCACCGTGCTGGCGCGACCGGCCGCGCGGATGACGCAACGGTGCTGCTCGATCGCGCGACATCGTGGTCGCGCCGTTCTCGGGACGCCCGGCGGGACACGTGGCTCGCGTCGTCGACGAGGGCGGCCGTGGTCGGTCGGCGGGGCGCGAGCCCGAGTGTTTTGGAGCGCCAGCGCGTGTTTTGCTCGGATTGCGCTGGAAAGTGGAGCGCGCCTCGCGTTCCGGTTCCACGTGCCAATGTAGAGCGCTGCCAGATGGACCGGGCTGGACGATGAATTTCGATTTCCAATTAAGTGCGCGGCGGTGACTCACGCGTTTATATTTATTGTCGTCGCGAGTGCCCGGAGTGGTCGGAGGCAGGAAGCGAGCCTACCTGTCTGCGCGCGATGTCTCCTCTCGCTTTGCAGCGAGGAATTTTCGATTTCCTGGTCCGATTGCGCTAAATTGCGAAATTTCTCGAAGGATCTCGCGAAGTAGTCGAGATGCACGTGTTGCTGCGGTAATAACGGTTTTTCTTTTCTTCTGTTTGCACGCAGATTGTAGCAGCATTAGCAGAACACACGGATCACGTAGAAGACACAAAATTGTGCAGCGGCAAAGTTGCGCAGCTAAATACCCCAACCATTCACGCCGGAAACATAGATCTTGAGAAATTCGGGCGTTGCAACGGTGCAGAAGGGCTCTATGTGCTCCACCGTGACTTGGGCGAATGGTACTTTAGTTTCCAAGAGCTTGCTACTGTGGTATCGCGAGAGGTGCGTCCAGGTGGCCTGTAATCCGGGTGTGCAGCAGCGGCAAAATGCTCAACGAGATCAGGGCGGCGGTACTGTTCTTAGTAAATCTGATCGAAAGAAGCGAAAAATTTAGTCCCGATCAATTGGAATGCTTCAAGCGGCACCTGGTCGAACTGCTGACGGAACGCTTCAAGAATCACTGGTTCCCCGACAAGCCGTTCAAGGGCCAGGGCTACCGTTGCATCCGCGTCAACGGCCACAATCGTCGGGACGCGACCCTCGAGAGCGCCGCGAACGCCGCCGGCGTCAAGTACGAGGACCTGGCACTGCCGGTGGAGTTAACGTTGTGGGTTGATCCTAACGAGGTGTGCTGTCGATTTGGCGAGAGCAAGGGTTCGTACTGTACGCTGGCATCATTCGACGACAAGGAGAACACCGTACCCATTTTCCAAGCCGAGCGTAACGAGAACAGGGAAAACGAGAATAAGCCAGCCCACGTGGGGCCTATCAAGATACAGGTGAGTAAATCAAAGCAAATTAAAGCAGATTGAATTCTTAACGTGCGCGGCTTTTAAATATGAGCGTTAATTTAAGAGTAGAGCAATGCAATTTTATAAATGTATTTAGAAAAATTGATGGTCTCAGAAGTATTTATAAATTATTTTGCGCTCTCTCTCTCTCTCTCTTTCTCTCTCTTGTTTGTTACATATATTTTTATCATGCAAAATGTTTGCATAATAGATAATTTACAAAACATCCGTCTTGAATCTACTTATCAGGTATTGATATGCCAAACAGCACACATGTTGTTGCACATAGAACTACCAACTTACAAATTGAAGAGCCGATTTCATCATTTCTGAAATCATTAATTACCGGACGCTTGTAATTTATAATTTATTTACATTCTGTATTTTCTTTTGTGTCCAATCAGACTTTATATACGACGTCTCTAAAATATTAAATTCTGGCGTGTTCTGATTCCAGAAATCCCCTCTAACCACAAGCACAGAACAACAACAATCGAAATCAAAACCATTAAGCATCGCCAATCAAAATCAACAGCATAGCAATAACGGTACAGGTAAGAGGCGCAACTTGAACAGTCCTAGGCTGCACCTGAACAGAAATCGTTCGTGGTTCGGCCATTCCTTCAGCATGGGTTACGGCCCTCATCCAATTAACCAGCCGTGGTACAACGTAATGCCCCCGCATTTCCTCGGTGGCCCCTCGCCGCCGCCCTTTATGGGACACCGAGGGAACAAGTGGGTACATCAGCCCTCTTATCCCGCAGGACCCGCCCGTTTCCACCATTGGTCTCCCAAAGCTGCTCTTAAGGTATAAAGAGAATATCGTTTTAAGAAAACACTTAAGAAACCTGTTTCTTCGTGAAGAATGAAGAAAATTTGAAACGAAAAAAAAAAAAAACACGTAATTGCTTGTTTTCCAGAAAATATTATTGCAATACATTATTGAATAGTATTTTAATTGAAATACGTTCGTGATATACGTATGCAGGTGGAGAGTGTAAATTTTTATATTGGGAACAGGTTTATTAACGCGTTTCACAATAACGAAAAATTATCCATCCTGTAATTACAAATGACCTTGTTCGAATTAAGGCTTACGATTTTTTATGACGAGAGGTATCGCATTATTACATGTTATACGTATATATAATAATAAATTGGAGTAATGAATGTTTTTAACTCCGGATGCAAGGTTGCTTGTAAAAAGGTAGACTAGTGGCAATTCGAATAGAAATAGTAAAAAAAACGATGCATTAGTATATGCGTGAAATGGAAATAGATGTCATATCATGACAAGTTGTTTCTTCGATCAATTCTTGAAATAACAAACATTTATGTGGAATATATATATATATGCGCGATGATATATCGAGAAATTGAGAGAGAATCTGTTTATCTTTATCTAATTGTCGCAAATCGATGAATTGTATATCTGCTTTGTTACATCTGTTTTGTTACATCTATTGTTGTCATATGCGTTATTGAAGCTGTATAATTGATTGGCAACGCCATTTGTTTAAGCGTTAATAATTTATAATAGGAGACAAACAATGGGAATGATTCCGAAAGTTTCTGAAATTTGACGCGATTATTTTCGGTATAAAATACAGTGTAATAAAATTTATGATTTTGTCACGTCGTATATGTTAATATATTCGCGTTCAACGACAAAGGCCGTCCCATAAAGCATCATCGTATTTCTTTCTTAAATGATTTACTTGAATCTGCTCCGGCAAATCTTTCGAGGGGGGGGGGGGCAATGCAGGACGGTGTTATGCCATCAGTTGTATAGCCTTAAGAAGATCGTAATTACAATATTTTTATTTTACATCGAAAAAATATTTTTACAAGACATAATACGCCGAATGAGACACAGAAAGGCTTTATTTCGTGCCGAAAGGATGCCTCGCGTTAGGTCAAAACTTTCGAAATTAATCCCGTTGTTTGTCCCATTATAGTCTAATTTAAACTGGACTATAAATAACTGGTTTTGTTCCGATATGACTTTAATGTTCGCTAATATTTGCTCTATAGTAGATTTTATTTGCATATTAGCTTATATATCGTAATAGAGAATTGAAAATAAAGTGTTAAAAAGTTACCTTTTATTTCGTGTGGGTGTGTGTATATATATATACATATATATATATATATATACATATATATATATATTACAATCAATTGTGATTGCGTGATAAACGTGATTTTGGTAAAATCTTGATTTCTATTCTAATTTGGATAAATTTGATTTTATATATATATTATTATTATTATTATATCGTTTAACATAAGATGTGAGAACAAATTCGTTCTACCCTCCCGTGTAAGGGTAAGCGATGCGAATGCATTCTTTTAATTTTTGTTTAAAAAAGAATAGAAAATCCACGACACTCATTATTTAAAGATACTGCCGTTAATGAGATTTTTTTATCAATAATCAATGCCGCTATTGGATCAACAAAATCGGCGCCGACGTCAAAATTAATTGCGCTGCAGTTAGATAAGTTATTGTTGTCATCACATTCGCGAACTAGCGTGTCGAATTTATTCTTATAAATCACATGCTATTTTTAACTTTAAATATTTTTTGCGTATATTGTTCAGCTTTTTATAGAGTTAACGCGTTCAACAAAACATAATCAATGCAATAGTAATATCAATGTCATGTCAATGTATATTTGGCCTTTTACATATATACATATATATAAATATGTATCTATATATATCTATATATATGTTATAGAAAATTTATGAGACATCAATAATATATATTTACTTATACATATGTTGGCTTTATATACATAATAGATGTACGTATTTCTTGTTTTTATTGTGTGGGTGTTATCTTTATATATATATAAATATATATATATATATATATACATATACTGTACGTGAATATGTTAGTGACAAGAGTTGATATCGAAAAATGTTATTCTCATTTGTGATTTATTCTGTAAGATTAGTTGTTCCTTCGAGATATCTATTTTGCGATCACGTTATATTAATTAAACGTTTAACTTTATTTCGCGACAGGTAGTTAGGTTTTACTGTGTAATTTAATAATCTTATTTTCATATAACATGCAGAAGTTTATATATATATATATTTTGTAATTATAATTACAAATAACACAGTCAATAGTTTAGAAATATACAATCTATTACGTTTTATTTGATAAGTTTCCATGTTTACGTCTGTATCATATATTAGACATTTAGAAAAGTCAAATTCACACATCAGACTCTTAATAAGAAATTTTTCGTGTGTTGACGACGTTAATTCTTCTTAGAGTCTGAAACGGGAATTGAAAATGGCAAAATTTGTTGAAAAACTAGATCTGTAAACTTATTTTGTAAAATCGTCTTACTATCATAATAAAAACTCCGTTATCGATTTTCGGGTACGCGATCTGAAAGACCCGAGGATCGGACGGACTTAGTTCGAGACATGCAATTAACATTGTGCAATAATTATTGTGCAATGAAACAAAACGCGAATCATCTCGAAGGAACAATTCTTCTTGCATGAACAAACGACATTGCGAGTATTTGTATTTTCGAGATAAGGAAATCTCTGAGAAGCACGAGGTGCTTCGCATTACTTCGCACTAACTGATAGCAGAATTATACACTTTTATAATAAATAATCGTTTCGGTAATACGGAAATAGAATCACGGGAATCGGAGAGTATATATTACATTTAATATCGTATGGTAGAATTATATAGCTGTATACTCCGATACATGCGGACTGGTGTATATCACTGTTGCCGGAATGCGAACGACGAAGATTAATCTAAATGTGTATCGTAAGAAGGAAAAAAAAGTAGACTACGTTTGACGCCATTTTAATCAAAGATATAGAATGACTCGTCGTAATATCTTCTCGCGGCCTTGTTTCGCGTAACGGAAGGTGCCGCAATTTCATTTCGACGAACATCGAACGCCTCCATCTCGAGGCCCTCGATTGCCTCAACGTTCAAGCAAAGTGAATCAGTTTCCTTCTCGGCGACAAAATTGCAAAAGCACACACAAGCGATCGTTTTTCTAACGTGAATTAATTGTAACGTTAAATAAATCCATTGACGACGTTAAAAAAAAAAAAGACTACAGTTTAACAGTGTAATTGGCCTCGAAAAAAAAAAAAAATTTGCTTTGTGTAATATGGAGATAAGATCGAGATGGCTTACATGGCGAAACGGTGTCTCCGTTATGACGAAGAGAAGCCGGCGTGAACCGGGTCGTCCCGTATGTAGCGCAATTCTGCAACTTTCACACACAGTTTTACAGTTAGCACCGTGTTCGCTGAATGCATACAATCTGCCCTAGCAGTAGACACTTTGTGTTCAATTTGTTGAAGACCTTATTCTAGAGGAGTTATGTTGTTGTTATGTAGGAATATGGAAAAGTCTATATAGATATTATGTATACATATATACAAATTATATTACGGCGTATGTATGTAGAATTAAGCAATATTGCATTCGGGGACATGTTCTTTTTATTAATATTCTTACATAATACATATATACAATATATATACACGTATATGTATATGTGCATACATATATATATATATATACATGGGTGTATACACGCGTACACACACACACACACACACAC